GAAAATATATCTATACACACACACACACTCATACACATACATTTACTTTGCGTGTACAGTGGTGAGGAGGTAGGGTTCCCCCCGCCCTTTCTTCTTGGCCCTGTCATCCTGGGTGCTTGGAAAGATGCTGGATAAAGATAGCATTAGATATTCTTCCCCCAAACTCAGTTTTCCTGTACCTGACTCAAGAAGCACCATCCACCTCCAATTTCAGGACCACCTAAAAAGAACCCATAGTAGTAATGACAACCATTTGGGGCTTATGATGTGCCAGCACTTTTGATACATTATTTAAGTTTCTAGACCCTGTGAGACCAATATTGGTCTTCACCTTCATTTTACAGTTGAGAAAAATGAGGCACAGAGAAGTTGTCCAGTCCACCCAGAGCCACACAGCAGGTCCATGCTAGAGCAGGCTACAGAGCTGGGTGGTCTGATCTAACAGTGCTAAGAAGTTAAAACCTGATAGAACAGGAAGAACAAGATTCCCCAAAACCAGATCTAAAGAATGACTAAAAAAGGTGGCTTCTGGGGGGTGGGGTGGCCTCTTAGATCCGAGAAGGGCTGGTGAAGCTGAGTCAGCGGATCCTGGGTCCCTGCACCATCGTCCAGGGAGCTTTGAAAAACATCCTGCGCCGCACCCCTCGAGAGTTCTACCAGGGCACCCTGAGCTTCCTCAAGGTAAGAGCAGCCTGGCCTTCTTCTTTGGGAGTCGCCAGTGGAATAACAGGTCCTCACTTCTGGAGCAATGTTCCATTATGGGGTTCCCAAATCAGGAGGTGGATCAGCATTCATGGTCACTCATGCCTCTGCCTCAGTTCTGACAGTTCACTCTGCTCCTAGCCATAAGCTCCAGGGGACAGGTCTTTTTCTGTTAATTCATTGTTATGCCAGCAGAGCAAACTTAGGTTTCCAGTCTTCCATGTGACTCTCCTTTCAATTACTTGGGGTTTTTTGTATTTAAATTTTCACCCTTGATGACTCTCTGCCTTCTCTTGTAGTCCAATGCTGATCTCTGCTATGGGGCACTAGCTGCCATCCCTGGACTCCGGCCAGTCCGCCCTTCTGGGGCCATGTACCTTATGGTAAGTATGTGAGACAAAGGGACTCAGACATCAGCCAGGCTGTGGGTCAGTCTCGTTAGGGATTCCCTTGTTCTCAGCTGTCCCGCTGACGTGATTGACAAAATTGTATGACTTAACTCCTCAGAATCATTTTATAGGTAGATACAGAAAAGATATAACACAAAGAGGCTTTCAGAACTATTGTAGTACTCAACTGGGACTGATACTGGTTCCCTGGAGATGTTTGGGAATGTGTAGGAATTTCCTTTGTTTTTGGAACAACTGGGTGTGCTTTTGGCATTTTCAGGGCCAGGCATGCTAACTATCTTGCAATGGGTGGGGCAGTTCCATTCAAGAAAGAGTTGCCTGACTTGTAATGCTAAAGCTTTTTGGGGAAAACGCTTGCACTCTAGTTCCAGCTTTCATTCATCAGTATCCAGGAAGGAACTCTTCTAGAATCTTAAACTAGTCACAGAAATATATCCTTCCCTGTGAAACATCCCGGGAGCTCATAAAAGCTAGCACTCATTGTTATTGGTAGCAGAGTTCCCAGCTATCTTTTAGAACAGTCCTGAACTGAATTTCTAGCAGAGGGTGTTGGCCTGTCTTCCCTCCTGATAAGTTTGCCTCTCCCTGTTATCGGTGTAGGTTGGAATTGAGATGGAACATTTCCCAGAGTTTGAGAATGATGTGGAGTTCACAGAGCGGTTAGTTGCTGAGCAATCTGTCCACTGCCTCCCAGCAACAGTGAGTACTAACACCTCTCTCCAGACATTCTTCACAGTTCTAGGGTCTCAGGTGCTCTCCCCAGCTGGTCTTTGCCTGACTTTTTCTTCCCTCAATAAAGCATATTCTCATTTGAGAATATGCAAACTGACAGCCCTATGGCCTCTACTTAAAACTTGTTTCTCCCCTATCATTGTCCTGTCCATACCAGGAAGTACTGCTGTGGACAAACTTGCTAGGTCAGAGGAAATCAAGCTTGTTCCACATGTCCCTGTTCAGATGAATTAAGTCAGTGCTTGGCACAATGACGGCAACTGGGTGAATCAATGGCCCTGGGTAAATCAAGGCATTGCTCAGTTGTTCCTAGAATAACAGGCACTTTGTTGTTGTTGCAGTGCTTTGAGTACCCAAATTTCTTCCGAGTGGTAATCACGGTCCCGGAAGTGATGATGCTGGAGGCCTGTAGCCGGATCCAGGAATTCTGTGAGCAACATTACCACTGTGCTGAAGGGAACCAGGAGGAGTGTGACAAATAGGCCCCAGGACATTTTGCTGAGGATACGTCCCTTTGGACAGGGCTGGGCTGGGCCCTACTGCTCCTCAGGGAATCCGACACCCTGAGTGGGAGAGGGGCCCTTGTAAAGATTCATCATTACTCCTGCTTCCCGCCCAGCTATATTCACATTTATACTCTGAATCCCCGATTCTCCTCTCTGCTGGAATGACTCAGTCATTCATTCATTTGTCCCCCTCACATATGACTTCCTTTAATTTTTTTTGAAGTTATCAACCAAAGTTTATCAGAAAGCAGTGGAGACAAGAAAATTAAGAATTCAGGATGAAAGAAATAAAAGATTGTGAGAACTTATACCCTACTCCCAAACATTTCCTCATACTATAAAAAAGAATTCATTCTCTCCAATCAGGCCTGAAAGCCCAATTTTGGTCCCATCTCACTTCAAGTATACCTCCCTTTATGCAAAGGAGCTATAACTCGAGAAGCTGGGATACACGTATTTGGTTAATTTTATTTTAAATTCTTTAGCAACATGTGCTAATTTGAAAGATACCTTATGTAAACTTTTTATTGATTTTTTTTGGGTAAATAATGATTTTTGTGATGCAAACCAATCAATCAACTCTCTAGATTTAGAGATGTGTATATCAGGCTTTCTTAAAATAAGGGTGCATCTATACTAAAAGAGGGAGGAATAAGAGTATCTTCCAGAAATACTGCTATGTGAGTGCCTGAAATATTCTCATTTGTCACTGTTGAAGGATCATTACTTCTGCTGTAACATTGATACTGATTTATTGATATATATTATTTTTCATATGTTTTCTAAGAAACATTTATATTGAAAAGATCCTTTATTTTGCCAAGAGCATAAATTATTTTTTCCTTTTTTAAAAAATAAATTTTACTAAGTACACTCTCCTATGATGTGTTTTTTTTTTTTTAATTTTTATTTATTTATGTATACAGTACTGGGGTACAGGCCAGAGGTACAAGGGTGGTGAGAGGATTCACCAGAGACAGAGTGGGGAGCAGAACAGGCACATGGTCGAAGTACACTGCTGAGGGGAGCAGCGGGCGTGCCAGGAGAAGTCTGCCTGGCCATGTGGCTCACCTCAGGGAGGGCGGTGTTCGAACTCATGCTGAAGTGGCTTTAGCTTCTTTGTGCTGAGCTTTAACCCACTGCTCAGCACAAACCTTGTGTGGAATTTCTATCCCCAGGTGGTGCTCCTTGCTCAGTCTGGTTGGTGCATTATCCACTAGGTTTCTTTATAACTTTGTAGATGGACTGGCTTTTGGAGTTATTTAAGAAACACTATTCCTAAAAATATTTTGTTTGGGGGCACAACCTTTGACTTCCCACTTTCAAACAAGGCAAACTCAGAAGTATTATAACATCCAACCTTCAACAATTCATCTGAACTTAACAATTTGGATTCCCAACTTCTGTTCCCAAATTTTTACACTTGTCTAGATCAACCACTACTCACTGGGGCCACAAAGTTGATTGAATCAGTTCAGATTCAGTTAACCTTGGAAGTAGAAACAAGCTCTTTCAATGTGAGCATTTTGTCTGCAAATCTTCTTAGGCAGTTTATCTAAATTTCTCCTCCACTTCCCTCAGTGGAGGGAGCCTTAAATTATCTTGCTAGGTTGGGATTAAGAACATAGCATAATTAGTATGGAGATTCCTCATTCACTGAAGTTTTCCTCATCTAGAAGAGGACCTTCAGGACTCAAACCAGCCTGACACATCCATTAATTTCTGTTGCAAAGATAAACATCAGTGTTCTCTTCCCATCAAACTTTGACTTCAGTGAGCTCCCACTGAAAATTGCCTATTAATTTTCTTCAGCAAATTCATGAGATTAAGATGACAATGACTCATTTTCTGTAGGCTACCACTGCTGAAAATTTTCCAAAAATTGCCTGACTCCTCTTTTCCTGTACCTCTTGCTCCAACTCTGGAAGATCTCTGTCGAGAAATAAACAGGAAGACTTAGTGGTTTCCGCAGTACGTTTTATCTTCTTCACATGTATGTATTAATTCTTTCCAGCATTACTGAACTCTGCTCTTAAATTCCCTAATTTCCTTAGTGGCTATGTTTGATAAAGGAGTTGAATGGAAATTCAAACATTTGAAAAAGTTAAACAATCAACACTCCTCGTGCCCACTTTTCAGCCACCCAGTTTCTTCACCCAGAAGTAATAGTGATCAGTTGCTGGTATATACTATGAGCTTATCCTGTGTATGCATAAACGTGTGGGCATGTGCGTGAAATTTTCCTTTTCCTTTCTTCAAATTAACATTACTAAACTTTATAATACGCTTTCTATGGCAATCAAAGGGGAGGAGGAAATTCTTTAGTACCTATCACGTGCTGGGGGTCTCTAGATAAAAACAGAGTCCAGGGGAAGGGCCGCTTTCAAACAAGTTTGACATTCCCGAAAGACAATTTCAGCTGCTTGGTGGATGGCGGCGGCGGCAGAGCGTTCCAGGAAAAAAACAAAGACACCGTGCAAAGGTCAGAAACGAGGGATCTGCCCAGTGATTTCACCTTTCTTTCTAGGCACGAGCACCGCCTACCGGGTAACTGGCCTTGTGGCCACACTTGCCCTCTCTCTAGTCCCCAGCTGCCGTCAACATCGCTTAAGCCCGGCCACCGTGACTGCGCATGCGCCGCCCCCAGGCCACGCGGCGCGGCGCAGGGCGCAGGCGTCAAACCCGAGCGGGCGCGGGAGCGCCATCCCTCTGGGAGGCGACCGCTTTTGGCCCAGAGGGGCTTCCGTTGCCGGTGGTGCCGGGCTCTCTTTACCTGGCCGCACCCTGTGGCGAGATTCTCTTCCTCCTTCGCCCTTTATTGGGGCCAACCCCGACAGGAAGTTTCCAGAAGTCGACGTACCATCCCTAGGTATAGTAAACACCTGTTAACATTTCCTGGCGTCGAGCCCTCTCACCAAAACGGACACGTTGTGAAGCAAACACGGAAACTCCGTTTAGCTCCTTTATGCACTTTTGTTGTCGTTCCTGGAACTTTCCCTTAAAGAATCGTGCCCTTCATGGTCCCGGGTGCCTGGCATATATATGTTAGCATCTGTGCTCAGCGAAAAAGCTGAGCCCACCTTCCATGCTCCACACACTGCACATTACTGTGTAGGGGCCATGTTTTAAGTACCCTAAAGGGTGAAAGGCTCCGTTGGAGGTCTGAATCCCCAGTCCGTCTTATTCATACTCTAGTTTAAGCAATTTAGGTTTACATACAGGTTTAATAAGATGCTAACCTGGGTACTATCCTGTATGTAGTTTGCTCTGGAAATTCTCAGACTTCTAACCCCTTCCAAATTCCCGCTTTCTCCTTCCAGACCTCTCGCCCCCCCCCCATCCTTCCTCCGCAACATGTTAAATTCTCAATCATTTCCAACTCTTACATTTTTGCCTTAACTGTAAACGTCCCTAAGACACTGGTCGCCTTGACAACCAGTTTGAAATTGCTTTTAGTCACATTCTAGATTCTAACTTAGTGTCTTTTCAGTATGTCTCTGATTCATGCGATAGGTTTCTTTAAAATATAGACTGCATGAATGCTTTTCCTGTGACTCTGGTGACTTGGGAAATTCCATTTCTGTGAATGACCCGTCCAACACCCTAACCTTAAAGTCTCTTGTCTACCAGAATCCTTAAGAGTTGTAAGTCCTACCCCTGCTCCTGTAGTTGTACCTTTGTTCTTTATCTTCACCCTGAACTAGTTTATCTTGGGAATCTTGAACTGCAGCTCACCCACATTCTTGCCACCCACCTTAGCTTTTTAGCTTCCTTATCATTCTACATTATCTCTGTAGAGTCTCTACTTGGGGTTAATCTAACCTTGAACCTTCTCCATTTTTTTTTTAAAGATTATTTATTTATTCATACAGAACTGGGGTACAGGCCAGAGATGCAGAGGGTGAGAGGATTCACCAGGGACAGAGCGGGGAGCAGAACAGGCAGATGGACGAAGTACACTGCTGAGGGGAGCAGCGGGCGGGTCAGGAGAGGTCTGCCACGCCATGTGGTCACCTCCGGGGCAGGCGGGGATCGAACTCATGCAGAAGTGGCTTAAGCTTCTTAGTGCAGTGCTTTAACCCGCTGCGCCACCAGGGAGGGCCTCTCCATTTATTTTTGCTGCATTATTTATAATAGCCCAGCTATGGATGCAACCTAAGTGGCCAAGGACAGATGCGAGCACCAGGAAGATACAGTCTGTGCACAGTGGCATATACTCAGCCATTAAACAAAGGTGAACTCTTGCCATTCGTGTTGGAACTAGAATGGACCTAGAGGGGAGGATGCCCAGTGAAATAAGTCAGAAGAAAGTCAAATACCAGATGATTTTACTTATATGTGAGATATAAAGAAACAAAACAAAGGACAGATAAAGCCAAACCAATAACAAACCCTAGAAATATGCCTGTAGAACTGAGGCTACCAGAAGTGGAGAGGAAGAGGGGTAAGAACAAAATGGGGAGGGAGCAGAAGGGGCCATGAGAATGGACTGTGGGTGCTTTTTTGTGGGTGTAGTGTACTAACAGCACCTGGAAGGGGAGATCCTATACCTCTAAAAATAATTTGCAGACCAGTATTATCTCAATAGTAATAATATTAAAAAAAAAGAAAGAAAAAGAAGTACAAATTGAGCCTAAAGTTAGCAATAGATAAATAAATAAAATAGTGGTATCCTTTGTTCCTAGGGGAAAAAAATGAAGAAATGAACTGCACTTAGGTCTTCAGCACCCACAATTACGCACTTTACCCTTTTTAATAATGACCAATCATCAAGATTAGACAGCTGTTCGGGAAGTCAAATATTTTGAACTTGAATCAACTGTATTTGGAAAACGTCACTTCTTTGGTCATGTTCACCTGAGTTCACATCCATGTCATCTGAAAGATAACTTTTCCCTGCTGATAAACTTGTTAGAAGGAAGAGACCATGAAGATATAAGAATATAAAATCTGGCAAAAAAAAAAAAAAAGTCCTCCAAAAACCTTGAAACTCATGTTAGTTTCATTTCATTTTATTTTGGTGTCAAGGCTATGATGGCTTCATATCTGTTTTTCTTTAGTTATCTCAAATGCGTCTTTTTATTAAAATGAATAATCTGTTGTAAAAAATTATGCCACTGGTGCATAATGTATTTTCACTGGACTCTCAAGACTGCTTTTGACAATTCTCTTATAAGTACTGGGGCAGTGCCTCTTTAGAAGCCTGGAGGTGAAGATGCCAGAGCCACATAGTGGAAGAGATCCAAGTATCTGTATTACTGCTTCGGGGAAGAGCCATTGATTGAACACTAGGTGTTCAATAAACTCCAACTGTGTTTGAGTAATCAAACATTTGGAATGTGTTAGAGTAACTACCATTAGCTTAACTAATAAAATGAGATCCTATATAGAAGTTTT